GGGGGGCCAGGGTGGCAGACTGGTACGGGACTCTCGAACACCACATCAAAATTGAGGCTTGCCCTGATTGGAAGGGCCGTGGGGACCTGCCCGCTGGGAATCTGACCTGGGGCGACGACGTCGACCCCCTAGGCCCTTGAGGGTGTGCAGCCGCCCCGGAACCTCCACCGGAGGCCCAGGATCGGCGCCTCCAGAAATCCCCACGGGGGACCTGGGGCTGCGCTCTACCCTGTTGACTAAACAGCAGTTGTCGCCGCTGCGTGGCTGGTGTATGTATGCCTAAGGACTTCAAAGTTGACCTTGTGTCCTTTAGGGTATGGAGCCTGGAATCTGTGTGCTCCGAGAACAAGGCCTTCCCTTCAAAGGGCAAGTCCTGTATGGTGTGCTGCACGTCCGAGGGAATCCCCGAGATGTGGAGCCATGCTCCGCGGCGCATAACGACACCTGTCATCATGGTGCGGGCTGCCGAGTCCACGGTGTCCAAAGCCGCTTGGAGGGCAGTTCAAGTAATGACTTTACCCTCGGAAGTCATAGCTTCAAACTCCTGGCGGTCCTCCATCAGGAGTCGGTCTCTAAATTTTTCGACTGCCTACCAGGTGTCGAAAGCATACCTGCTCAGCATCACCTGTTGGTTAGCGATACGGAGCTGCAGAGCACCCGAAGCGTAGACCTTGCAGCCCAACAGGTCCAGCTTCTTAGGCTCCCTTGCCTTCGGTGAAGGCCCGGACTGGGGAAGCCTTTCTTTTTGGGCCGCGGCCTGAATGACCAATGAGCCCGGAATGGGCTGGGAGTAAAGAAATTTGTGACCTTACTGCGGGACGAAATAACGCCTTTCTACCCCTTTTTGGGTGGGAGTCAGAGTTGCTGGCGTTTGCCACAGGGCTTTAGTAATTTTTGAAACAGTTTTATTGAGCGGTAGAGCGAAGCGCGCAGGGGTGTCCTCAGTGAGGATGTCTACCATTGGATCGGTTTCCTCAATTATGGGTTCAACTGGGACAGCCAGGTTGGAAGCCAGGCACCGCAGGAGGTCCTGATGTGCTCTGGCATCCATTGATGGTAGCCCGGGCGCTGGGTCTGCCAGTTCCTCATCGGGGGAGGATGACGACGACGACTCCTGAATCAACAGGGGAGTAGTCGTGACCAACTGCGGAGTCGGTTGGACGTTCTGAGCTTCCGGAGGGCCTGTCTCCGGTACTGGTGGCTGCGGTGCTGCAGGATCCTGTTGCGGCACTCGAAGGGGTGAGGGGGGCGCCCTAGACAGGGATGCAGAGGGGCGGGAACGGTGCCCTGAAGCCTCTGACCCCATAGATGGTGGTGGTTGTCCCTGCCACTGATGATAGGCCCAGGGAGTCCAAAAGGGCCATTGCGGATGAGGGTGCCACATCTGCTGGTTGCGGTCCCTCCGGTGCCTGGATCTGGACCTGTGGGTTGAGGAAGCTCCCGAAGACCCTGACCGCACCGACACCACGTCCGAATCTGAAGAGTAATCGGATTCAGGCCAAGGGGGAGCCGACGAGGAGTGCGGTGCAAACTTGGCCATCGACTCCGGCTTGCCCGCGTGGGCGCGGCAAGGACGTGCCATCTGAGGTACCGGGGGACCCATGTCCGGTGCCGTAAGGGCGGCTGATAACAGCGGCACCGGGGAACCCAGACCCGGAGCGGCGAACTCTGCTGAAGCAGTCAACTGTGGCACCGGGGTGCCCAGGCCCGGTGCCGGCTGCCCGTCAGAACCTGTGGCACTGGGGTACCCAAGCCCGGTGCCGTTTGCGACGTCATTTGCGGCACCGAGGTGCTCAGGCTCGGTGCTGGCTGCACCGTTTGTGGCACCGGGGTGCCTAGGCCCGGTGCCGGCTGCGTCGCCAGTAACTGCGGCACCGAGGTGCTCAGGCTTGGTGTCGGTTGCGATGCCTGGAGTTGCGGCACCGGGGTGCCTAGGCCCGGTGCTGGGTGCGCCGCGTGCAGCTGCGGTACTGGGGTGCCCAGGCCCGGTGCCGATTGCGCCGACTGCAGCTGTGACACCAGGGTTCCCAGGCCCGGTGTCGATTGTGCCAACTGTGACTGCGGCAACGGGGTGTCCAGGCCTGGTGCCGGTTGCGCCGACTGTAGCTTCGGCACCGGGGTGTCCAGGCCCGGTGCCTGTTGCATGGCCAATAGGTACGGCACCGAGGTGCTCAGGCTCGATGCCGACCGAGTTGTGTCCAACTGGCACGGTACCGGGGTGCCCATGCCCGGTACTGGGATGGACCACTGAGTCAAAGCCGGTGCCGATGACGGCACGGAGACGGACATCGACTCTTGGGAAGCCAGATAGCCTTGTGGGGTAAACCACTGGGTCGATGCCGGTGCCGATGACGGCACGGAGACGGACGCCGACTCCTGGGAGGCCACATGGCCATGGGGGTATGGCACCGGTACGGCCAAGCGGGGCTCTGGCAACTTGGAGAGCAACGACCTGCCATAGATCGAAGCTCCCTGAGAATGACGATTCGGCGTCATGAAGGGTGCCGTAGTAGTAGCAGGAGCTGACCCCACCCGGATTGGTCCCGACACATAAGCCACTGTAGCATGCCGACCCTGGCCATGCATGGGTGACGGCGGTGCCCTCCGAGCTTGCACCGGGGGCAACCTCGACCCGTCCGAGTCAACTGACGACGGCGGGGAGGTTGTAAGACTTATTAGGTCCTGCGCCACTTCAAAGGTGTCCGGCATAGACGGGCGATGAGAGGGCAGGCGACCAGGGCTCACTAGACCCCCTCAGTGCCAACGGTGCACCGGAGGGGAAACACGCACCGGTGAACTGCCGGTGCGGTGTCCAGCTGACGTCGGCTTCTTAGACGGAGACCTGCCCCGGGACTTCTTCACCTTCTTAGATGGTGGAGAGTGAGACCGGTGCCGGGATCTTGACGTCGATGCCCGGTGCCGGTGTGCGGCCTCGCGCGTAGAGGCCGATGCGCTGTGCACCGCAGGCTGGTCTGGCAGTGCCGGCTGAAGCGCCATCTCCATGAGGAGAAGCTTCAAGCGGGAAACTCTTTCTTTCCTCGGACGAGGCTTGAAAGACTTGCAGATTTTGCAGGCAATTGCCAAATGAGCCTCACCCAGACACTTAAGACAGCTATCGTGTGGGTCGCCCCTGGGCATAAACTTCCCGCAGTCAGCGCACACCTTGAAGCCTTGCGGCCCTGGCATTCCTTACCCCCAAGGGGGGAAGGAACAAAAACAAAAAACCTAACTATCTAACTACACAACTATTTACAATGTGAGAAACGGGAACCATTAACTATCTAAGCCTAACAGCTATAGAGAGAGAGAAACGCTCCAACGACCGACACGGCGGTAAGAAGGAACTGAGGTGGGGCAGCGCAGGCAGGGGTACTTATGTCCCGCCATGGCAGCGCCACTCCAGGGGGCCGGCGCTATGGGTACCGCTGGGGAAAACGCTCCGGAAGACGTGGTGCACGCGGCGCGCACACCTACTTCGAATGGACATGAGCAACCACTCGAAGAAGAACTGTTCATAGGATCCTAAGAGCTGTGAAAACGACTGCAGGAAGCAATGTCTTTGCTTATTCTGATTATGGTGCTTTGGGCCATGCCCTCCCTCACTTAACTAGCTAAGAGGCATTATTGCTCTGGCAGTGGGAGTTACACGAGTGCAATAGGAAGCAACTGGGCATGGGATTTCAAAAATCTCATACATGACTTAGGAGTATAAGACCCACTAAAAGTCAATGGGACTCATGATCCTCCATAAAGTAAGAGCTTTTGAAAATCCTTCCCTATACTCTTCGGAGCAGGGAGTCAGTAATATATAAGCATCACGTTACTATTATAGAAAATAAAAAGGGGAATCGACTTGCCCCTCTGACTACATCTCCAGCACAAGAACTGTGCACAATAACCGTCCTGTGTTAAGGGAAAGCAGAGGCCACTCATGGCTAGGCTGATAGACCTGGTCTGTCCAAAGGGCACATGCCATTAGTGCAGTAGCTGTGATCCTCCATAGCTTACAGAGGCATTTTGTGCTTCCCCTTTAAAGCCAGGAGCGAGCCGAGTGAGGTGCTCTCTTCCTGTCTCCATGGCTTTGAATTAGCCTCCCAAGGGCAATGATGGAAGCCCCAGAACTTGAGATCGAAAACTAAATTGGCCAAAGTGCTGGTAGGCTCACCGTACTAGCCCCCATGGGATTGACTAGACGATCTCACTGACCTTTTCCATGTTTAACTTCTAGGACTCACTATCAGTCCCAGTGAAAGGAGCACCTCAGAGCAGGCCTGGCTTTGAGGATATATAATGACTGAGTTAGTAGGTAGAGGTCCCACGTGAGCCAAGTGCTAGGTGCTGTACAGACTCACGAGAGACAGTCCTGCCCCCAAAAGCTGACAGTCTAAGTAGAAAAGATGCAAGTAGTATCACCAACCCATTTTAAAGGTGGAGAACTGAAGTACAGATTGATCTAATGACGGCCAAGGTCATAGCTGGAAATGGAAGGCAGCTCTCCTGAGTCCTAGCACAGTGCCTTGTTTATAAAACCGTTGCGCTACAGCTGGATGGCTGAGGTTATGAGTCACAAGGAGGATAGATTAGGGAGAGAAGCGAGAGTCTGTCTTCTTCCCCAAACTGAGGCTCTGCTTTGCTAGCACTCCCAGCCCCCTGCTGGCCAGCACGTGAAGGACAGGGAATCCAAATTCAGACTCCAACTGCAGAAGCGCATCATGTGCCAACGACAATTCGCCTGGCTTCTGTACTTCCTTTCTTATGCATGTTTTCATTGGGCATGCCTACACTGTGCAAACCCCTGCAGGGGTACATCTCAGAGCCTAAGTCACCTGACGCGGGCTCACGCTGTGGAGCTAGAAATAGCAGTGTAGGCATTTGGGCTCAGACTGAAGCCCTCTCCCTTCATCACCAGGTTTCAGAGACCAGGCTCTGGCCCGAGCAGGAACGTCTACACTGCTATTACTAGTCTTGTAATGCAAGCTCGGTGACCCTAAGTCAACTGACCCAGGCTCTGAGATCTGCTGCCCCAGGTTTTATAATTGTTTGCTGTGGAGATGTACCCATAAAGGCTTTCTTTAAATACATTAATCTTCTTTCCTTACAAGTTTTGCTGTATATTGGAAAGCTGTATTTAAATAGGTGCTGCCAGCCCTTGGCAGACTGAAGACAATTCAATCATAGCTTATAAGTTCACTGCAGACAGAGCAGATTTAAAGAACATACCCCCGCATGCGTACTGTGAACTGTACCTGTTGCCGAATTAGGAGAACTCTTGCATTTCTTAATCTGATATCTCTTCACCGCCACTGGTTTTCCTTGGTATGTTGCCTGATAGATAATGGTTCCACTTCCACCCTGGCCAAGAACATTGCTTTCATTTTCACTGTAGTCTAGTTTACTATTTTCCAGAAACAGTCTGCCAGAAATGTAAAAATAAAAACGCTGAAAGGAACTGTAATTTGTACATTTCATCTGATTCTTTTCACACTTTTTAAAGATTTTCATCTCAATAAAAGGCTGCCACTGAAAAGGCGGGACCGCAAAAGTCATTTTGTTGTCTTTAGATATTTTACAGGCCAGTAGATATGGCATGTTTCTCACAAGGAAGAGCAATGTGGGCAAACCTGAAAAATGGGGTGTTCACTAAGACAAACATTTCTCATTGCCAGCCAACAAGATCCCGAAAGCCGGCAAGGTGCCAAGCTCTGTGTCTAGTCTGATGAGGTAAATCCAGCTGATTTGGACAGTGTATGGTCAATTTTATAGGTTTTTACTTCCTCTGCCTTCCAGCAGGACTGGACGGTGTGCTGAAATCTCATTATGCTAACCAGCCAGCTTTTACCAGGCAGCAATTCATCATTTTCACACCCTCCCTGAGACAGCTTTTACAGCCTCTCTGACATCAAACATTTCCACTTGCCTTGTTGGACTGGTCAAATAAAACTCTAACAAATGACACCCCTGATGAGGGCCCACATGCCACAATGTTGGCAAGTTTATCCAGAATGACCCATTAAAACTACCTGGAGAAAGGAACACCGGCTGTTAAAAAGATTTATTTGAAATCACGCAACTCAGTGAAAATGTTAGGAGCTCAGGCAGTAGCTGGATAGAGTCCTCAGAGCTCTGCCCATGCCCAGTAGAAAGATCTGAGTCATACAGACAGCATGAGCCTTAAAGGGCACAGGACTGCTATTTAAGTTCCCAGATGTCTTTATGAAGGAACCTCAGACATTTACATGCTAATTAGTAAGAGTGGATTTTTTTACTTCCTAGAGCCCATGGAGTGCCCGTCTTAGATACAGTCACACATACGGGGCCATTTATCAACAGAGCCATGTAAAACATTTGCCCTAGGATCAGGCGAATGATGGCTGTTGATGGGCTTGATGAAAAAGAAGAACTCAGCCTGGTTTCATCGTAAGGGCCAGTATGAACATTTCAATGGCTGGTTAGAGGTTTCACGTCAAATCCAGGTGAAACTTCATGACTCTGGATCTTTTTGCATTAAGTATGTGTGTTCACTGGTGCCTGTGAGCTGCATGAAAGCAGATGTTCCACATTACGAGCAACAGACCTTAGTTAAATGGAACTCATCAGTTTAATCAAAGCATGGGAATAAAAATGTCTGCTTCTCCCTTAAATCTGTTCCTAGATTCTGACTCCTCCCCTTCCCCCTAAAGCATATAACAGCCTCGAGGAAGACATCCAGGGTCACATATGCCAGACTGGACACAAAAAGGCCTCCTAACTTTCTTCATAAGTTGAAATATTAACAATCTTCCAGGTCCTCCTTGTGCCTCATAGGTCAGAGCATCTCAACCACAATATTGTTAATGAAATGAGTTCCTGTGAGTGAGTCAGGAGCTCAGCTCCTTTACAGGAGACACCCAGAAAAATAAACACTGCATCTGACAGCATGTGGAAACCTAAATTAGTTCATTCTGGAGAGGGCCTCAAAAATCAAAATGAAACAGGTTCCTCCAAGCTTTCCACTGATTCTGTGGAAGGTTATGGCAAGCCCTCCTTTTCTTGTATGTGCTTTGGTACACAATGCATCAAATATTGGTTACAAATTCATATGGAACTTGGAATGGCCTTTGAGTTAAAAGGAAGGCCTGTCTGACAGGGAGACAGAGATGCATTTACAGAAAATCATCCCCCATATGGAATGCTTATCTAATCCCTAACTTAGCCCTGCAAAACTTTTTGATCCAACCTCATGCTCTCCTGGTGACTTCCCCGACAAGCTTGGGAGATAAACCTGCCTACCCTCTAATCCTTTGGGAGATTTTCTTTCCTGTCTTCAATGCCCCAACACAAGAAGTGAGTACGAATGGGATAGGGTCTCGTTTGGAGAGGGTGAAAAGCATGAGGAAAAGGGTAAAGTTTTAGACTCGTGGTTGGGTAAAAACAGCAGAGGAATTGGGAAGCAGCAATAAAGCAAAAACCAACAGATATATATGAAGGAGATAAAGGCCTGAACTACCAAGTAGTTCAGATTCATGTAAGGGCATGAGGGAAAAAAACTGTGCCACTGGTACTTTTCTTTTTTTAAAGCATCGGTTCTCCCAGTCTCATTCATTATTAGGTTTGTAAAATGCATTAGTAATTGAGAATAGGCTCCATTAATTAGAGGATTAACGTTTTCCTGAAGAAAGGGAAACGTAGGATAGATTTTGGGGGACCAAGGTCTAGGATTTTGGTCTCTGTATAAACTTCAGGAAAAATCATCATTTCCTACAGCAGATTTGAGTTGATGCCCACTTTCTGCTGGGTCAAATATGCTTTCGATAGCAAAAAATGCTTTAATTTTCTCAAGGAAGGAAACTGTGCTATCCAAGCCAATTACAGGGTACAGGAATCAATCCTTCTAGAGAAGTAGTTAAATAGTTTCTGTCAGGGACAGCACGGCCTTTTAGAGAGTACAGGACTTCTTGCAAAAAAGAAAAAGTCTCTCTGATTTTCAGCCAAAGCCCCTGAATCTGCTGCTGGTGCTACATGTTTTATATCATCCCACAAGAGCAAACTGCAACTTAAGCAAGTGTCACCAGTAATTGATCACTGGTAACAGTCAGAAGTAATTCACTGTACACAGGCCATGTAAGGGCTAGTGGCTGAAATTAACTCATTTCAGTAACCCACTCCTGGCTTCCAAATTAAAACCTTGGCTCTGAACAAATCTGAACTGGGGGAAGTTTGAATCCAAGTTTGAACATTGTAGCTAATCCCCAAATCAAAACATGCCCAAATAATATGGATATTCAAATGCAGATTTGAATGGGCATTTTGCAGCACCTTATATTGTTAGTGCACTATTAAAAATCTCCCATTTTATACATAAGGACCCTGAAAAAGTCATATTGCACCAAGCCCTGGGTCAGAACACATCATCAGGGAAAGCAGAGACCAGGATCACTTTTCAAAAGTGACTTTCACATCATTCCACAGGAATCTCAGGAGACATTATAAGGGGATGAGTCAGATACTGAGAGTGCACAGTGACTGCGTAAGCAGATGTAATGACTATATAGGCAGATGCAGACTAGGATACAATGACATGGCTGGGAGTCATGGGTAGATGAATTTGTCTCCACATCCAGGGTCGAGACCTTTGGTAGAAGTGAGCTGCAAGAAATGCAAACTGAATTATTCATAGAAGTCCAATCAATGACTGCCAAGTAACATTACCTGGCTGGAAAATCTGTCATGAAGAGCTCTGGGACCAGCTCTTGTAGAGAAACTGGGATATTAGGGTGACGAGGACATGTGATATAATCCTGTTCTATAGCAGTCAGAACACAATCCTCCATGTTGAAGTACTGCTCATCTTCCACTTTGTCAGGCAGCTCTTTCTCCTGTGTTCTAGAACTTGCACAGATGTGGCACGGGACATACTGTTCCATTAGCAACGTCCCATCGCTCTCCGTGGCAGTCAGTGCTAAAAACCATAAAATAACGACAGACATTGAACAGCAGTGTCGAGTGCGTTCCAATGTACACCTCTTCTGCATGAAATCAGTGCTTGAGAAGTCCCAGGCACTCACGTAATCCCTCATGTGACCCCCACACTTTCCAAAATGGTGATAGTGGCTCCTCTGTTTATCAGCTGTGATAAAAAAGTATCGATTTGACAAACACACAAAGGCAGCAAGGGCAGGGTTGGATGGTTACATACTCCAGACTGTTGAGATAACTCAATCGGCCTGGCAGTTTCCAATTTGGGTATCAGAATTAAGTAACATGCAGGGTGTGCATTCAGCACTATAGAAACTTAAGAGTTCATGGATAAGAAAAGCCTTTTTATGAAACAGTTCACTGTGGCTTTAATTAGCTGCACTTCAGAAAGATGGGAGCCCACTGCGATGAATAGAAAAGCACAAGAAACAAGTCTGTCCCTTTAAAGCAGAGAGGAAGAGAAAATTACCAGAGCTCCTCCCTCCTCCTGATTCCTCTTTTGCCAAAACCAAGCAGACAAGGAATAGGAGACACAACTCCAAGGGGTTATGGACTAAAGTCTAAGACCACAGTGGTTCAGGACACAAATTAGCAATCAGCATTACCCAAAAGAGCCACAGTCATGTGAATTCATTATTTCTTTTACTATAGTACTATATATTCCCACTGAAATAGGATGACAGGCAAATTTTTTAGTGTATCTATATAATTATCACAGCAAAATGACTGATCAAAAATTATTATTTTCTCATCTGCAATTGGTTAATAACATAGTAAAAGCATCCTGACTGGTTAATAATTAACCCACACAGTGTTTTAAAATGATGTGCCTCAACGAGCTGCAGCGGATACATTAAAGAACCACTTATGGATCACTATTAGGCTGCGCCCCTACTCGCTACACTTGCCAACCCTACCCTTGGCTGGGGAGGGCCTAGGGCTGAAGCCGCCCCAACTCTCCCTCCTTCCCCTGGCTACCAGGGAGGAAATGGCCCTGGCTTTCTCAACCCTCCTCCCCCTCCGGTCCGCCCTGGTTCTCTCTTGCCATTCTTCCCCCTCTCGGCCTGCCCTGGCTCTTTCTTGCCCCTCATCCCACCCCTGGCCTGCTCCAACTTTTTTTTGCCTCCTCCTTTTGCCTGGACACTGGGGAGGGCCTGGTGCTGAGGCCACCCTGGCCCCAGCTCCTACCCCCTGCTGGTGGGTAGGGTTGGGCCACCGGCTCTCCTGCCGACCTAAGAGTCTGAGGGGGCTGAGGTGTAGGGTCTTGGCCGAGGGGATACAGGGAGGGAGGATGTCTTGAGGCTCATAGCTTCCACCCCAAGGGGAGAGGCTGCATGGCTCCAGGGCAGTGTGACTCGCAGCTTCCGCCCTGCCCCAGAGCACAGCGGAAGGGGACTGGGGTAACATGCCGCCCTAGCTTCACCTTACCATGGGAGGGGATGCATTCATACCCTTCACATCCTCCCTGCATACAGGCCTGGAAAGGCTGCAGCTGGTGGAGCTGAAGATGAAGAGGCCGGTCAGCAGGGAAGCCTGCCGGCAGAGAGGCTGTTTCTGGGTGGGAAACATTTTCTGGGATTGGAGTTGGGGGCACGGCGATGCAGAGTGACATCATCTATTGTCCCACAGGAAAAGTTTATATATACAGGCAGTCCCCGGGTTACATGGATCCGACTTACATCGGATCCTTACTTACAAACGGGGTGAGGCAACCCCGCACTAGCTGCGTCCCCCCCAGCAGACCAGGGAGACGCGGAGCGGCTTTTCTCAGCAGACACCTCAGCTTGAGAACAAAGGACTGAGGGAAGTGAGGTGTGGGAGAATAAAACTGAGCTCTGGAGAAATGTTTGGCTAGAGTTTCCCCTACAATATGTACCAGTTCTGACTTACATACAAATTCAACTTAAGAAAAAAACCTACAGTCCCTATCTTGTACGTAACCCGGGGACTGCCTGTATATATATACAGAGAGAGAGAGAGAGAGAGAGACAACCCTGAGGCCCCGTCTACACTGGCAGAGAAAATCGATGTAAGATTTGCAATTCCAGCTTCAACAATTACATTGCTGGAGTTGACATACTTCATTTGGTTTTTCTGGGGCTGCCCCACAGAGGGAGGTCTTTACTATCAAATACAGGAAGGTCGACTGCTACAGCGTCGGTCTCCATGGCAGTGAAGACAAGCCCTCAGTCCAAATATTGGCATTCTATGGCAGATTCTAGCTGAACTGGAAATCAGAGAATTCTTGTATGAATGGTAGCCAGGCCCCTCCATCTGCGTGTGCAGGATTCCCAAGCAGTCAGTGAAAGAAGGTTCCCCCCTCAACACGCATTGTCATTGTTTTAGGATGCTAATTGATTTCTGGTTCCTATGGTTCCGAAGCCATCAGTCTGAAAAGGAATGATAAGAATTCCTCCTTGCTAGAGACACAGGACAGGGACACTAAACACATGTATTATAAGTTTTTTGAAACGGGATGGGTTATTTGGCCTGTCTTTTTACCCCAGTGGTCCACTGGCTGGTATCCTCCCCTTGCACCAATCTTGCTAATCATCATGTCATGTCTGAATACGCTTCTTTGGGATCATCATGCTGCTCAAGCTTTAGTCATTAAAAAAAAAAAAAAAAGGCACTCCAAACTCAAGACTTATTTTTTTGACCAAGTTCTCAGATCAATACATGCCAACACTTACGTCTATGCAGCACATCGTGACCTGGAATACAGCATGTCATTTTTTCAATCAATATCTATTTGTGGATTACAAACATGGAAACAGCAGGCCTGATTCTGATTTCTCTTACGGTGTAAACCAGGAGTAACTCCATTAAAGTCAAGAATTACACTGGTATAAAACTAGCAAAAGGAACTCAGACATAGTGATTTAACTTACCTAAGCAGTATAGACCTGACGCTGCTTCCACTGCATTGAATGGAGGACCTAGTCACTGACTCCTGCAAAAGTAGGTTTGGGCCCTGTTTGTTGCACCATAACATCTAATTTATGCATGCTTTTAAGGTGTTGAGAGATTGCACCTTTTGGATATGATGCTCACACCATGTGGTGTCACTAAAGATTTGTATTGCATTGAATCTGCTGCTGCTCTAGATTGCAAAATCCATGGAGCAGGCACCTAATCTGTGGGGTTTTAAGCCCTCTTCATCTATTGCCTACCATTGTGCACACAGACAGCATCATTATGGAATAATTTCCAAAAAAAGAGTGTAGAGATGTAACAATGTACAGAATGCTACCAGTTTCTTACCTGGAAACCATTGATCTATCAAGGAGTTGACATGATCTGTGATGAAAGCCATTGCTGAAAAATCTCTCATTTCTGACTGGCAAATGATTTTAATTCCACCACTTTTTTTCTTTTTCCAGTTCACATCAGAAGATTCCACACTATGTCATGGAGAGCAGGAAACACCCAGATAAGACATTTGCAAAGCATGAATGTTAACAGTTTTCCTTTAGCAAAATCACTGATAAGCAGAGCGACAAAAAAACACATGTAATTAATCTCCAAATGGAATCGACCACCCAGAAGAACTGAGAGAACATTTGTGTACAAAAATAAGCAAAAGATGGGTGCTTCAAAGTAAGTGGAGATTATGTTGGAATCAATAAAGAAAGTGCTTGCTAAAGAGCTACGAGTCTTAAAAACCAACACTAAAACTCTGAGGCCTGATCTACCCTACAGTAGAAGGTCAACTTAAGATATGCAACTCCAGCCAGGTAAATTACGTAGCTGGAGTCGACGTATCTTAAGTCATGTTTCCACATAGCAGGAGGTCAATGGGAGCCAACGCTCTTTTTTACTCCTCATGAGGAGCAGGAGAACGGGCACAGTCGGGGGTGGTCTCTGAGTTCGATTTAGCACGTCTTCACTAGATCTGCTAAATCAGACTCTGGAAGATTGACCGTGGCAGTGTCTATCTTCCACGTAGTGTAGACATGGCCTAAGGGACACACTTTCAAAGGATCTTAAACATGCTTACAAAATATATTCATTTGCAAAAAACCTCTGGTATTTGTGCACAGAAATGGGCTCTTGTGCAAACTTCCCAATGTCCAGTGGTTAGGTAGTACTCAAGACTGTGGGAGATTGGGTTTAAGTTCCTGAGTTCTGGCACAGACCCCCTGTGTGATCTTAGGAAAGTCACCTAGGCCAGATTCTCAAGAGATATTTAGACACCTAACTCCCATTAATTTCACAGGAGTGAAAGATCCCTTTGAAGATCTGGGCATTAGCCTTTCTGTATCTCAGGTGCCCATCTGTAAGATGGAAACAGCACTTCCCTACCTCCAAGGGCTGCTGTGAAGATAAATACATTAAGATCACGATGCAACAGTAACGAAGGTGACTGAGGTAAGGAGGAAAAGGCTGTATGACAAAATTCATTGGCCGCTAATCTATCCTGGTGAGTGAAACGGTGTCCACATACCCAATACCCAGAATCTTGGCCACTGCATCTGTGTAAGGAAAAATCCAATTGTTTTGCTTCACCCACTGGAAGGCTTTGCACTGGCCTAGGTACAGCACATCTCATGTGTCCCCTTCTGCAAGCAAAGCCATAGTAGGACAGAAGGACAAAAGAAAGCTCTCTGTACAGGTGTGAACTGCAGCCATATAGCAGAGAGTTTTAAGAGCACTGTACATAGATCAATTCATCCAAACACCTGTTTGCATGTGAAAATGCAACATTTTCTACAGGCAAACAGTTCTTCTCCAAATGTTACTTTGTGTTTTTGGATGTCTTTATATTTGTAGCCACAACAATATCTGCAAGAAAGAATATGTGAGACATTCATAACTTGCAAACAAAGTCTGGCCCATGCCTGCTGAGCTTTGTTTTTATCAGCTGAAGAAACACGCACACACAAACACAGACACATACAGATTACCTGAGGTAGCCGCCATCAAAGGTAACAAACAGGCCTTCCTGCCAGTAGACAGTATGAGTTCTCTTGACTCGGAACGTGCTGCAGCGGTTTCTTTGGGTGCCTGTAAAGCTGTAGAGGGTCATGTTTTTGTTCCTGCTCTTGGTATTCTTCTTGTTCTCAAACAGCTGAAATGACACAATAATTCAACACCGAGGCAAGACGCCTCAGACAGGGATTCCCTAAATCAAGCAAACAGAGCAACCCCATCTTTTTCTGACCATCTTGGATATTTTCCACTTTTTAAAATTACAGTATCCATGACTTGTCAAAGAGTTTGCATGGGGATGAAAATAAACAGAATCACGAGAACGTCAGTAGCAAAACAAGAATCCCAGATCACATTCAGCAGAACGGCCTCAAGCCAGTGAACATGGTTCATTCTACTGCCCTTGTACACATTCATTAAAATTAATGTTATATCTCCAAATACAATAAGAATAAACCCATTTACTGGCTGAGCAAACCATTATCTCCCCCCCCCTCCCCCCGTGCACTGAGCTAGTAAATCCATCTGCATCAATATTTGGGAAGCTATTTCAATGGGTGGAAAATGACTTTTCTCTATGCTATTTAAGAATAGTATGTCGAGAATTCAACATGATTATCACTGAGAGGCCTACTCATCTGGGACTTGAACCTATGCCCAGGTAAGACAATGAAATCCTTCCCATTAATAGCAGTGGGTACTGGACATGGTCCTTAGTGAGGTGCTCAAGATTTATTTCCTGCCCAGTGGGATACAATCAGAAATGCTAGGACAGATCTTTACATTAGTCATAAAAGTAATAACCTGTAAGAATAGACATTTCTAACCTTTTGAGAGGCTTTGGAAGTGGAGCATGTGCAAACATGACGCTAACACCTTTTCTTTAGGGGGCCCATAGCATTCCACAGAGCTGATACAAGTTAACTGGGCAATTCTAAGAGCTGGCAGGGTAGAGGTCATGGGCAGTTATAATGGTTTCCTATGGAGTTGCCAGGGTGTCACTGGAGAGATGCTGCAGCATTAACTCATGCCACCAATGACATTGCAACCATGTAAACACTATTTTTATGATCAGGCTCATCACTTTTGCAGCCCTGTCTGGGACTCTTGCTCACACAAGTAAATAAATTGAAGACAAAGGTCTCAATACACCAGTATCAAATGAGAGCAGGTTCTGGCTCAAATCCGTTAGACTTCTTCCAGGGTAGGGGCAGGACTTAAATTCACAGCCCCAGGCTCTAGAGGCTGATGCCTTATCCTGCCTACCTTCAACTGATGCCAGTGCCAGCCCCAGAAAAGCTTGTGGTGGTTGCCCAGCTGTTCCCAGGGCAGGTGAGAGCCTCTGGAGCCTAGAGTTGTGGGTTTGAGTCCCAGCTGCTCCTGGAGTGGTTGGGCAGCCATCACCAGCTTCCTGGGATGGAGCCGGTATCAGCTGGAGGAAGGGAGAATAAGATATCAGCTGCAGATAGGGAGGTGAAGTAGCTCCCAGTGGCTTAAGGGATAAGTCATTAGCCTCTGTGAGCCTAGGGTTGTGGGCATGAGTTCCACCCTTGCTGCTGCCACCCTTGTAGCAGGGCAGGGTCTCAGGGACAGGACTGCCAGGTCACTGCTATTAAAGTCAATGACATTTCTTGCATGACTACAGCAAACAGAATGCAAATGTACTCCCAATGGTATTGATGTTTTTATTAAATGGCACCTTTAATTGTTTTCACATTTCATTTTGTGACTACAGTCACATACCTGGAGATCCATTTCTGCCAGACTAATTAGCATCCGAGCGATGAACCTTTGCCAAAAACCAACCGGGACAAAACTCATCTTGAACACCCTTTGGACAGTGTTTGTGGACTGGTGGCATAGGCCATGGATATCTAATGCTGGTTTGGCTGGAAGGAGATGAGGTAGGAGGTAGCTGAAACAAATCAAACGTGACAGTTCAAATCTTCAGCTACACCTTTACAACAGCAAATACCTTGTACTGTGTAATAATGCAGGTTCTTTCTTCGCACAGCATGTTAATAGCACAGCCTACTGTCTATAAAAAACTTGGTGATATCATAGCAATATATGAAAAAGGGACATAGAGCTGCTTTGAGAACTGTGCTTAATGCATGGTATGGAAATCAGAAAGTGAAGAACAGGCATTGTACACAATTCAGTAATGTTTAGTGGACAGGATAAAATCAATATAAAGTGGAGAATATTTGAATAAACAAAAATTAACTGCATACAAATATGACAGTCACGGGAATGATACTTGGTTTCCATTACATTTTGACGTAACTTTTGCATGCATTTAGGCTAACACATATGACACTGCTCTCCTGAGAGCAAAGAATTACAGCTCCAACCCTGTAGGAATCTTTGAACATAAAAACATAGAGGCAGGTTGTTTACTATGGCTGAGCTTCACTCAGCATAGATACGAGGTATCAGAGTCAATAGCTACAACTCCCTACCTGTGGGAGTTAGGCCGTGTTGCCCCTCTCCACCTCATGCAATTGTGCAGCCTAAGCATTGGGCCAGGTCTACACTAGACCCGGGAAGTCAGGTTAAGGTACACAACTCCAGATATGTAAAGAACCTAGTTGGAGACGACGTACCTTAAGCCAAGCTTGGCACCATCTTCACAGTGGGAAGCTGATGGGAGCAAACGCTCCTGTCAGCTTCCCTTACTCCTCGTGACTGAGAGGAAAACTGGTGCCAACCAGAAGCACCTTCAGCATTTGATTTAGTGAGTCTTAACTAGACCCCCTAAATCGAATGCCAGAAGATTGATCTCCGGCACATAAGTATGGACATGGCCTTAGTCTAGTTTACCACAGTAGTGTATAGTCCCTGAAGGATTGTAATGCAGCTGAGGATGGGCTGATTAAGTTCTATCCTCCACATAACCCAGGCAAACTCCTTTCCTCCCTCAATATGCCACGTGTTGAGGTAGGGGATGAGAACAGCAGGTACAGCAGCCAGCACTGACAGCTGAGAAAACCTTTCTCTGGGGGCATTCTTAACTGGCCAGTTATGACTGGCATCCAGCTACTCCATGCCATGAAAACCACAGGAAAGGGCTTGGTTGTTTTTGAGAATCAGATCCAAACCAGAGACATAGTAATACAGAAAAGTTTTTGTTTCCATAAAGCTACTGTTAATTTGTTATGCAAGGACAACTGATTTGTCCTATTGCATGGTATTTAAGAAGCTAGTATACAAACACTCTCCTTTTAAAAAGCAAAACAAGAGGTTGTTGATCTTGAAGAGAAAACCACGCACAGGTTATTATTTAGGTAAATTACAATTTTCAATTATTGCTCTAGCAAGGGTCTTGAAAGAAACAAATGGTGTGCAATGTCCTTGAAAACAGGTCTCTGGTTTTTGATACTTGCTAATAATATATTTCAAACCAGACACATACCACTACAACAAATATATTAACGGACATACATTTTAAAGGACTCTCAGCTCAGCCTCAACTTTTGTACTTAGTCAACTGTATGTGCAAAATTATGCACATGAACGACAAGATTTGATGGGAGTTAGACATCAAAATACATGATTTGTAGTCATAATCAAGCAGCTAAGCAGTTAGCTAAATTCTATCAATGGAGCACTGTGCAAGTTCTTTTTATTCTTTGAATGTGGGAGCAAAATTATGGGTTTACCGGGAGAAGATTCTTCTAAAAATGTAGCTCCACAGGGTTAATGAACAAATAGATGAATGACTCAACCAAGCCAGCAAGGTGTCAGTGGCAAACGTGGGAACACAACAAATAATCTTGTGTCAAAGTCCCACACTCTGGTCACTAGATCACAATTCTTCTTTTGTACTTAAAGCCATAGAGCATGCCTACACAGAAGTGTTATTTCAGAATATCTGTCGTTATTCCGAAATAACAAAGAGCACGTCTACATAGGGAGCCATTATTTCAAAATAACGATGACATGGAGGACTTCTTACTCCAACTCCTGTAACCCTCATTTCACAAGGGGTAAGAGAAGTCAAAGGAAGAATGTTCTTCCTTCGGCTTCCCACTGTGTAGAGAGTGCCAAAAGCCACAGTGAGCTATTCTGACTTCAGCTACACAATTGACATTGGTGAAGTTGCGTAGCTTAATTTGACTTTTGCCCTGCTGTGTAGATGTGCCCATAGTGTCCTGAAAAGGTCACTATTAAAATAATCAGTACAGAAAGCTAGATATCGCCAGACAGCAGCCCATCTTAAGGACATATTTTTGTCTATAATCAATATAATGTATGATAACATTTTATATGACAAGATTAATCATCCTACAAAGCATCTTTGGAATTTAAAGCAGTAACCTCGGTTTCTTCAATTTGTAAACTGAAAACTAAAGGTAAGGCTTTCAGCCTTAATTTAACAACCAAGACAAGCCTGAGCTACATATATATTAGGCAGAGTGAATTCAAACATATCAAACTAAAAGCTCTTGTTCTATAAAACTACTGAACACACCTCGTGACAGCCAATAAATTTGCCTCGGCATATCTAAAAAAGTGTCTAGGAATGTAAGAAATAAGAACGCCAATGAGGCCTGCTGGACCAAAACCATAGAATGGTTTAGAATACAAACAGAGATTCAACACTGCGTTTGAACAGCAGCCAATGCAAATCTTGAAAATATGTGAAATGTATCCCTGTCCACCCCTCTCAGTGTGTAAACTGGCAGCTGCTTTCTCTGCCAAATGCAGGGTGTGTAAAGCCCTATCAAGCAATCTAGACAACAATTGCAAAGGCCCAATCACAAATAACTCCTCCGGTCTGCCAGGCACACAAATTAAAGCAATCTGTTGTAGCAACTCTCCATCAATGGTGGGAAGGGTATTGTAACCAAGAAGCTTAGATGACTCCAAGTAGATTGGTTAAAGTATAAAATAACAATCTATTTCCTTACTATTGAGCCAGGGATAATGTAATTGCCTTTGAGAAAAAATGGCAGATAGTGACAAAGAGTCAGGAAGGCATTTGCGATTAAGCAGAAACATTATTGCTTTATCTGCGTTAAGCCTGAGAAAATTTGCTGGCAACCAGGACCGGGTAACTGACAGCTACAAGGACAGTATTGAGAATGCAGCTCTTGTAGCAGCATTCAGAATTCCTGCGGGGTTTAGAATGATGAAGCAGGGCTAGAGCGGAAGAGCTAGGGAATGACATACAATGCTGTACTAAAAAGGCAATATGGTTACCTATTAATTCAACAGACAATCGACAAAGAGAAAAGAAAAATAGTGGGGAGGACAAGGGAATGGGAATGGGATTCAGTAACTTTGAAATGAACGTGGCCCCCATGTCAAATTCCTAGTGCAACAAGGATGAAGATCTAGCAATGAGCTTTATAATCTATTATATATTTTGAAGAGTTTGTGGATTTGTTTGTGCTAAATCAAGTCATACCTCCCTATTAGCAACACATACCAATTTTGCATAAACAATCCTGCCAATTAAATTAGCTGAATGAACTATTTCTTACATCGGAATATACTAGGTGAAAGGTTTAAATATTTTTGGTTTTAATCAGAAAAAAGTCATATTATTATGATTAGAATTCATAACAAAAATTGCTAACAAATTAAAACTGAGTTGCCTATTCAACTGTCATTTTAGTGCAAAGAAAATTTTGACTGTTACAAATCACAAAATAATTCAAATTAATTACGGAAAGAGTAATGGAAGCTTTATGAGTTTCTGATTCAAATTTACTATGTATGGTAATTATTCAATAACATTAATAATGTTTGAAGTTGAACTCCTACAAATTTAAAACTGCTTTCTTACTTTCCTTCTGGAAGCACATCAATAAAAAATTCTACGACATATGTATATTTCATTTCTTCAATTTTCCTATAAGTGTAATCTACGCAAAATGACTCTGCCCGATCAATGACGGGCCTCACCCGCTAATAAGAACTAAAAGTTGTCACTTAAGATATGCTTTCTTGTGGTCACTGAACTGATGATGTTTAACTCTTGTTCTCGGGGCTGACATGATCACCAACATTTGGAAGCAATTTGTCCCCAACGCAATACTAGTGGAATCCTAAAATTCTCCACATTGCTCTGGAGCACGGATCATCTGTTCTAATCAGATGGTCTCTATTTCCCATAAGGCAGCCATTGGTAGAACTCTGAGCTTGTCTACATGGGAACAGGAGATGTAATTTCCAGCTCAGTCACACATACTTTGCATACTAAAATTACCAGCATAGCTATAGCTGCTAGTGCCTCAGGTATGTACCTAAAGGTTCAGGTGGGATTGTATACAAAGTGACTAGCGCATCTGGCTGCCCATGCTGTTACAGCGACATTGCTATTTTTAATGTGCTAAAATCAAAGCCAGCATAGTCTATCCATGCTGGAAATTACACCTCCAGTGCCAGTGTGGACTTAAGTACCGACTCTGAAGATACTCTGGGACTCAAGTACCCACAGAAAAAAAAGGAGTTGCTTAGCACCCCTGAGCCACAGCTGTTTGGTGGGGCCACCGATCAGCTGTTTGGAAGCTAACAGGAGGCACTCAAGGCAGGGTGAAGAGCAGTGAGTGGGAGGTGGATGGAGGCTTCTGGGGACAGGGTGGAGCAGAGATTGGAAAAGACAGCGTGGGGACAAGGCCTCAAAGATAGAGCAGAGTTGGAGCACCCACCCAGAAAAATCAAAGTCAGTGCCTGTGAGAATAGACACTATTAATCTTTGCCATCTTCTGTTACAACTATTGGATGTAGTCTGGCACTCTGATGGGGAGACTTTCTTCATTATGCCAGCTAATCGTAGTGAGACAAGTTGGTGAAACAGTCTCTACTTTTGGACCAACTTCTGTTGGTGTAAGGTGCAAACTTTTAAGTCTATGCACACCTATTCTTTGGGTCTGCATAGCTCAAAGGCTTGGCTCGTCCACTAACAAGAATACAGTAACTCACCTGCTTCTGTCTCTCACATCCTGGGATGCAGGAGGCTACAATTCTGCAAACAACTATGGAAGCTTCCTCCAGTGACATGACTGGCTAATATTCACTGCTTAAATAACCATTTGCTCTCCTTCTGGCTTAGCCATCACCAATGATCATTACTAAGGCTGCATTTATGTAAGAGGTCATGGTAGTTATGGAGTCTAGAGATCTCCTGACGTTTTCTGCTTGAGCCCCAGGAGTCATGGATTTGGCAGTGTAGAAGCTGTAGAAACCATTTCATATTTAGCTAGAAGCCATCTTGTATAACAAAAACCATTTCAGCTTTTCTCTCAAGCACGTAGACCAAAGTGAACTTTCTGTCACCCCGTGAGAAGAGGCCTATAGGATGGGCTATTGGTATGTGTTAATTGGGTTGGTTGGGACAGGAGATGTACTCCCTCGTACCTGTCCGCCATCTTGTTGATAAGGCTTTGTTTTTCCAAGTTTAATTGAGGATTTCTGTAATTGGATGCCCTGACGTCAAACTGTTTGGCTAAGGGTATAAAGATACTAGGATTGATTGTATTAGCAGCCTTACTGGGCCTGGCTTTGCTGGGACCACGTTTGGCTCATGCTGTGCTTTATTAATTAATAAAGCTGTTTGTTAGCTGCCTAAACAGCTGTTTGTTAGCTGCCTTCAACAGCAGCAAATGGGGCCCCAACAGGTTTCCAATGACAGGATATGGCTGTGTTTGGGGCCCTCAGAATGTTTTTTTGCTTCAACAGCAGCCAGTGGGGCTCCAACAGGTTTCCAATGACAGGATATGGCTGTGTCAGGGGGCCCCCCTTGGGGGCCCGGGGCAAGGGGGGGCCCCCGAGAGAACCACAAAGCCACAACAACGAAAGTCGCAGATAGGTCACGGTGTTTGTGAGCTTTAGTTTATTGCCCATGACCTGTTTGTGCCTTTTATTAAAAGTAATTGTGATAAAATTTCAACTTTAATCATTACCAACATACCTGTTATTGGCTACTGGTAGTGCAATTTCAAACTTGGCCAGAAACTGGAAATATTGTTCTTCGGTTTGTTCAGTAAACCCTGTCCCAATTAACAACAATCTGAAATCCTCTGCTTTGATCACTCCATTCTTAGCAATAGACTTTGAGCCCTTAATATTAAATATTCTCTGAAGACATTCTGATAACCATACTGGATCAAGGAAATAGAGGTTTCTCAGTCCATGGCTGGTGTCTGGGAAATGCAGCAGTGTTCCTGTTTCTATAAGGAAACTGATGGCTGTAAAACAACAACAACAACAACAACAGAAGAGCAAGATATCAAGTTATGAAACCATACTAAAGACAGCAGATCAGAAGAAAGCTTTGATCACTTTACCCAGACAAGGAACATACCAGAAACATGCCAGCATGCAGTCAACAACCAACAAAGAGCATTTACACGTAGAGGCTACAGCAGCTAACTAGATCTCATTTCTTATAATCACAAATACATCTTTATTGTCTGCAAGATAAAAGTTTTCAGGCCACACTGAACTCTTCTTTAGGTCTCTGCCCAACCCAGGCCCTAATACTGCCATTCTCCCGGAGGCAGAGTTCCCTCTGGTAGGAATACTGCTCAAGTAAGGACTGAAGCCCTGATCCCTCATACTTGAAACCCAAGACAGGTTTCATATAATATGTCAATGTTCATTTCTGCAGGAGTGGTTGAGACGGAGCCATAGCACATGTGCAGACAAAGGGATGGTACTTTAAACTAGCTGCGCACACAATACAGAAGTGGATTTCAAACGACAGGTTGCGACCCAGGACTGGGTGGTGGAATGCAAGGCACCGGGTCTCATTGCTGCAGAGTGACCAGGGGAAGGGGTGCTAAACCAGGCTTCCTGCCTGTCCGGGCACTGCAGATTGTGCTGTGCCCCAGATGTGGCCAGCAGTAGGTCCGGCTCCTAGGCAGGGAGGCTGGGGGCTCTGCACAATGCCCTGAGCACCGAGTTTGCATTGCCATTGGTCAGTTCCCAGATAATGGGAGATGGGGGGAAGGGCTGGTGCTGCACATGAGAGGAGTGTGCAGAGATGCTTGCGTACCTCTGCCTATGAGTCACATCCCTGCTGTGCCGGGACTCTGGAGATAAGCCCATGTGCAAATCTCAAGCATCAACTCCCTGCCCCAGCCTTGAGCCCACTCCTACACCCCAAACCTCTCATCCCTGACCCCACCCCAGAGCCTGCCCATGCCCTTCACCCCACCTCCCTGAGCCAGCCCAGAACCTCCTCCGAAACCCTGAATCTCTCTGCCTCATGCCCCAACCCATCATCCCTGGCCTCACCCCGGAGCCCACAACTGCAGATGGAGCTCATGACTCTCTTGCACCCCAAATCACTCATTTCTACTCCCACCCCAGAGCCTGCACTCTAGTCAAAAGAGACAATTACATTGGGTTGTGGGCATCAACATTTTTTGTTAACTGGGTTGCGAGAAAAAAAGTTTGAAGACTAGTGCTCTACAGAGTATTTTAGACTGGCAACAGAATGGCTGTCACTCAGATAGGGAAGGTCTTTTTAATGACAGGAGATGGAATGTGATTAGATTCTAGGGACCTGGACCTCTTAGGACATTGATTTCACTACCCATGGAGGTTACAAATCAGCTGAACAGAAATCTGCACAAACAGAATCTTTTAAAGCAACTATCTGAACAGCAGCTACTTTCATTCTCATAGTATTTGTAAATCCCAGGACTATCTTCCAAGCAATTACTGTGCTCCCGGGGACGTACCAACTTGCAAGTCTTCATAGTCTTTGATATCATTTCCAGGGTTTTGCTCTACTATTTGCTCTATCTGTTTGTCCGTTAGATACTGCACATCATCACTCTGTCTTCTTTTCTGTTGTTCTGCTAAGATGGCTTCTTGGAGACTAAGGTAACTTCTTGGTATCTGTAGGTCACACCGGAAAAATAGCACAACCAGTTCTAAATAGCAATCATGCTACTCAACAGTTAGGTTCAAAGACATATTTCAGAAGCAAGCTTATGAATTTGTTTTCCAAAATCAAATAACTTACAACAGTGAGGACCAACCTATGCTAGTGAGTGGGCCACATGAGTGGCCCTCCTTCATCTCCATGGGCCGCAAGACTGTCATAGCCAAGATGGTCTCCTGGGATAGGTTACTTTTGCTAACCATGCTTGCATACCTCAAATTTGTGGGGTATGCCGAATGAAACATAGCAGCACTTTGACTGGATGCAGAAGGAGCACACAGCTCTCACAGTCAACGTTGTGTGTGATCAGCACACATCTGACTTCACCTACCCTTGCGTGTCACTTTAGTAATACAGTAGAAAAAATTATGCAGATAGAAACCAGCAAGGGAAAATAAAATGTTTCATGGTCCACACAGAAACTTGAGGGGCTGCATATCGCCCTTGATTTGCCCACCCCGACTGATGTTTGTGTTTTCTTGTTATCTTTTGTTTTAAGGCTGCTGATACATTATACATATTTTTTATAGCTATAATAAAAACAAAAAACAACAACAAAAACCCCCCTCAGAATCAAACATAAAAGCCACTTGCTACCTGAAAAATAAAACAAAAAATAACCTGAGTTTGCTATGATTCTCATTAGAAAAAATAAACATTCACCAATCTTGCTGCAAGCTTCTGTGAGCAAATAGAGCTGCCGACATCCTTCATGTTACAAGTAACTTGAAATATCAGCTGGCGGAGCCCATCGAGGCCTTCTAGGGTCTTACATGATAGTTCGCTGCAAATGAAAACCAGGGCAAAGGCTTGTGAGACATTAATGCAGGCTGTGATTGTTCCTGCAGGGCTTTTCCACACTGCAATTAAACATCTGCCGCTGACTTGGGCTCAGGATACAGGGCTGTAAAATTGCAGGGTAGATGTCTGGGCTTAGGCTGGAGAACCAGCTCTGGGACCCTGAGAGACCGTAGGGTCCAAGAGCCTGGGCTTCAGACCAAACCTGAACTTGGACACAACAATTTGACAGCTCTGCAGCCCATAAAAACGGCCGTACTAGGTCAGACCAAAGGTCCATCTAGCCCTGTAGCCTGTCTGCCGACAGTGGCCAGCACCAGGTGCCCCAGAGAGGGTGGACCGAAGACAATGATCAAGTGATTTGTCTCGTGCCATCCATCTCCAGCCTCTGACAAACAAAGGCCAGGGACACCATTCCTACACCTGGCTAATAGCCTTTTATGGACCTAACCTCCATGAAATTATCTAGCTTCTCTTTAAAAGCCCAAATGCAAGTCCGTGGACATGGGCCAGCAGCTGTTAATTGCTGTACAGATAGACCCTTAATCTCACCATTTCTTTACCTGCTTTTGGAATGTCTAATTTCCAGTGCCCGAATAAATGGGGTAGGAAGTGGGGAGGGTGGTCTCAATGAGAGTCCTCGGTTTTGAGAAAGAGTACCGAAGGAATCGGAGAAAAAAAGACACTTTGGCCCTGATTTTGGCTTTCCCAGCTCCATCCATTGTGCACTGTTCAGGGGAACCAAGTGCCCTTCCTCAGGGGAATGCCCTGGAGGTATAAAACCAATGTATCTAACTCTTCACCATCTACTCTCTTCCCCTGCATAGGCAATGCTCTGGGATAGGCCGGGAGTAGGAAGTGGCGTGGCTGGAGAGAGCAGGAAGAGGTGTTGGCAGTCCATAGGGGTCCGTTCTTGTCAAACTGGTTCTGCCAGTCTCAGGTTCAAGGAGACAGAATGGTGGCTAAGGGCTGCCTTTCCCTCAGGCTGTGTTCAGGTGCGTGGACTCCATTTCATGCCAGATCCCTACAACTACAAGCCAGCCTTCTTCTCACAGCTAGGAAACGCTCGTCTTCCTATCACGCTCTTGCTGACCTCCTTGTGTGCGACACGGGAGCCCGCCCCTTCCGCTTCTCCCCATAAAGATTCTTTCTTACCGATTCCACACCTGGTGAGGGAGGGCGGAAGGGGAAGAGACTTACTTTAAAGGAGTATCCTGTATTTTAAACCCTGTCCGTTGACGGGTGGGGGCTGGCGGATGGGAAACAGTATGCAGCTCACACAGCCGGGCGTTGAATGAATGGCGGATAAGAGTGCTTTTGTCTGACCCGCACAAAGCCTTTCTGAAACGACTCTGGCTGTCCCTAGCAGTGCTCAGAGCCATGTTCCTGCCAGCTCCAGGTGAATGATGGCGAATGAATGAAATAGTTTGGGTGGGGGTGAGGGTGGGGGAAGGAAGTAGTCGCAGTCTCTCCAGCTGAGAGGAAATGAATGAGGAACGTTGGACTGGACTCTGGAGGCTGACAGGAGCGGGGAGCAGATTGTGCTGGGCAGAGTTTGAGAAAGAATGTTAATGAGAGGGCAGGGGCAGGGTGAAGGGAGCTCCCCTCAGAGAGAGGTGTGGGGAGGGGGGCTGCTTTATGGCAAGAGAAGGGCTGTAATGAGCAGGACGTGATGGCCCCATGGCATTGTGCAGCACCATTGCATTCAGTGATACGCTGGTACTGCAGCTAGGAAACGCAGTGCCTGTTGCACGCGGATCAAGGGAGGCTTTGTGAGTGTGAGCTCTCTGCCAGGCTAGGAGCGAGGCCCCATACCAAGCATCAAGTGGTTTTCCTGGCTTGGGCAAGGTGGATACGGGAGGTGGGGAAGCTCAGTGCAGTGTCTGTTTACGAAGCCGAAAGCTCCATTCTGACAGCAGGTGCAGAGTGTGAGCGGCCAGTGCAGCAGCCTGCCCCCATTTCCCAGGTGTAGGCATTTCGCATCAGCCCTTGGGCTTAGTCAGCTGTGGAACTTACAGCTGGGAGGGGTCAGTGACAGCCTGTCTCAGCACACTGCTCACATGCTGGGAAACTTAAATCCTCTCTTCAGTTTCCCAGCCCCGGGATGCTGCCTTCCCCATGTGCGCTCTTACGCCAGGCAGCCGTGAGACAGCTGAGCTGAACGCCCTGACCTGACTATATAATGTGCAGTTGTAGACTTTCTAAAATAAAAAAATGATAGATTGCAAGCCCTCTGGGGCCAGAACCGGCTTTCTGTTCTGGGTTTGTTCAGCACCGAGCACAGGCAATAAGCGGCCTGCAAGCTGTACCTAGTTCTCCAGGATTAGCTCCTGGTGGACCACTGGGTGCTTTATTTACCTGCACGTCTGCAGATACGGCCACTTACAGCTCCCATTGGCTGTGGCGTGTCATTCCCGGCCAATGGGAGTTGTGGTGGCCTGGCCCATGTTGCTTCCCGTAGCTCCCATTGGCTGGAAACAGCAGACCACTGCCAATGGGAGCTATGAGCGGCTGTACCTGCAGATGGGAAGATAGATAAAGTATGTAATAATAGTGCTGTAAAGTTATAATGGCATTTACCTTGCAACTAGTACAAATCCCATCAATATATTGCTAATCGGCAGTATTAACGCTTAGGTCTTACAGAGCAGTAGCCATATTTATATTCAAGTGTTTGCAACATTAACCACTTAATGGCTACAATTCCCTTGTGAGTTAGTTTATAAACTTTATCCTTATTTTACTTAGAGGGAAAATGAGGTGCAATGACGGCAGTGTGAGTGATCTGCCCAAGATCACAGCTGTGACTAGCACAAAGAGTCCCAGCTCTTAGATGCATTATCAGACCTCTATAGCAGGGGTGGGGAACTTTTTTGGGTCGGGGGCTGCTGATCCACAGAGAAATCAGTCAGGGGCTGCACATAAGTGAGAAGCAAAGTGAGAAGCCCCTGACTAAGGAGACAGACACTCCCCACATTCCCCTCGCACACCGGAGCCTAGGGGGGCCCAGCCTAGTAGATTTTGTGTGCTGCAGCCCTGGGGGTAGGTGGCAGGGGGGCTGGAGAGCTAGTGCGGGCTCCCCAATGCTGAGTTCTGGGGGCCGGATCCAGGCGAGCCGGGGGCCACATCTAACCCCCGGCCTGAGGTTCCCCACCCCTGCTCTATAACATGCTGTACTACTTTCTAACTATAGCAAACATCCAAAATACAGATGAAGCACAAAACTAATGAAGTTTTAGATTTATTGTGTTGCCAAGGAAACAAAAAATCTATAAAAGCAACTTCCATCTAGGGGCGATAAAGACACAGCGACCTAAGGGATATCGTACTTACTGTAAGTGCTTGAATGTGATATCTGGAAAGCCAGTTGCTCTTGATCCAGAGGGAGAGCGACACAGAGCCAGGACATATGCTCTCAGAGTTGCTATCCTCTCTACACGAAATTTAGTTTCAATAAGGTCAAGGTGTGTTCCTACCACTAACACAACAGAATTTGGGGCTTTGGCCTGAAAGAAAAAACAAGGACCCTGATTTGCACCCAGGCTACGTAATGTACAGAACTGACAAGTGAGCAGATGTCAATGAATACATTTCATCAAAAGTCAATGGAATCGCTTAGAGGTAAGTGGAAAAGATTCTGAATTCAACCCCTGAATCCAAACAACTTTGAGCTTGGGGAAAATGAAGTTTTAGAAATTGTGTTCCTAGCCCCATTCTCAGGATACATCCACACTACAATTATGGATGTCTGCTGTCAAGCAGACATACGAGGTCTGCCTTTACTCTAGCTAGCTCAGGTACTAGAGCAGTGAAGCTGCACTAGTACATTCTTCAGCATGGGTTTTACAAGCCTCCTAGAACTTTGGGTAATTATGTACGTGCCGCAACAGTTTCACTGCTCTGGTACCAGAACTAGCTCAATTAAAGCTAGTTTAGATATGTCTACATAAGCTACAATCATACCCCATGGTTGCAGTGAAACCACTCTCTGTTATAGTGTTAACTCAGGCTACATCTAACTACAGCGAGATTGATGCTCTGAGATCAATCCACCAGCAGTCAATTCAGTGGGTCTAGTGAAGACCTGCCAAACCGACCGCAAACTGCTCCCCTGTCTACCCTGGATGAGAAGAGTAAGGAAAGTTGACGGGAGAGTTTCTCCTGTCAACTCCCTGCAGCGGAGACCCTGTGATAACTCCACCTAAGGTATGATGACTCCAGCTATATAATTCAAGTAGCTGGAGTTGCATCCCCTTAAGTCAACTTTCTGCTGTAGTGACAATGTAGCATCAAGCTCTGATCCCAACACCACTGAAGACTGAATCTCAACTCTGTAGTCAGATCCAGCTTTACAAAGTGGAATGGAATTCAGCCAGGGAGAGCACTGGACACCAACAATATCTGCACTAAAAATGTTAAAACATAACATCACTGGGCCAGAAGAATAGAATACATGTGACTAACCAGCACAAGACAGAAACTGCTTAGAAGTCCCCTCAAACCAAACTGTGACTAGGCACTAATTCCATAATGAGTATCTGCAGCAATGGCTTAGTCTGGATATGCAAATGAGCTTTTGTTTTACTCTCTGATATGCATATAAGGTGAATGTAAACCATTAAATACAGTGACTCATCTATAGTAGAATGGCAATTTATATCCCAAGAGCAACATACAATTCACACATCACAGAGGTTATAAAGGAGGTTCTAAATGACCTAAAACATACCCACTGATGGGTAGAGTTACTACTAAAAAATAAATAAATCCCACAACTCAAAGTGACTTCTTACCTCAATGTTCAGCAACCAGAATTGAAGGTTTGCAACAGCCTCTTCCCCAAGTGCCAAGTTCCATACAACTATATACAATGCTTTATCCGTGAAGAAACACTGATTGACAGTAGACATACTTGCTGGGCCTCCAATATCCCAGACATTGAATTCCACTGAATCAATCTACTTAGACAAAGAAAAGTGGTCAAATAAAATAATTACAGAGAGTCATGGGGAGAGAACAGCTGAGATCTAAACAGAGACCTGGGTGTTCGCATAACACATGACACCAGAACGGCATTGATGTTGCAACTGTGCCTCAAGGAAATCAAAATCAACGCCTAATTATTAAATGTGGCTGCCACTTCCACTCAGGAAATCAGAACTAATCGCTTGCTGCTAAGACAATAATGGCGCCATTGATACTGGTTAATCTCCAGCTAATGCTCCAGCACAAACAAAAGACTGATTCTGAGCCATGCAATTCACTGGCTCGGGAATAAGAACTGTTTCCATCCTTGACTGTGGCATATTAAATACGCTTGCTAAAGCTAGTTAGCCAAGAGAGAGCTGCGGGAGAGGGAAGCCTCCTGCAGAAACCATTTTCATTCCACAGAAGGTATGTCTACACCTGGAGCTGGATGCGTAAGCTCTGCTTAAAGCCCTGATTGGCCTGGGGAGTGGCGGGGCCTCCGTGGACCGGATCAACTTGCCCACCCCTGGAATAAAGGGATGCTTTAAAGAGGGGAGAGAGCACAAGCCAAAGAGCAAATTAGAAGAAAGAGTCTTAAGCTGTACTAAGAAAAACAATTTTAACTACAGTGTAAGAATGTAGACACAAGGACACCCAAGCAAGTTGCCAAAGAAGGTGGTGAGTCACAAGAGTAAATTTCCACCATCTAGTCTGGTCTGACTTAGGGTACGTCTACACAGTAGCGCATACCTTGAAATAAGCTACGCAATTTGTGACACTTATTTTGAAATTTGGCGCTGTCTACACAGCACTTATTTCAAAATAAATCGCTATTCCGCTGGCTTCCTTAATCCTCATACAACAAGGTTTACAGGAAGTCGGAGTAAGAAGCCCGTTATTTCAAATTTATTTCGCAATGCATAACGTTATTTCAGAATAATGGACGTTATTCCGAAATAACTCTGCGGTGTAGACATACCCTTAGGGATAGTAAAGTCGATTTAGCACTGTTTTAAGGGATAGACTACATGACCCTCTGGAGATCCTTCCTGCCCCAAACCATTCTACATTAGCAAAAAATCTCTGACCATCATTCACCTTTGCTTTGAGTCCAGCTGGTTTCTGAAGCTCCCATTTTGTTGTCCGTATGGTGGCATCACTGTGCATCAGCTGTGGTGCTTTCCCTGTCTGCAAGATCTCTATAAGTGTTGACTTTCCCTGCCGTGGAGGACCCACAATAATCATCTTCATTAACTTGCATTTTTCTGCTTTGCGCAGCTGTGCCCGCAAGTATGCTAATATTGTTTTAGGGCCTATTGGGAAAAATGGTGGACATATTATCCTGTGGTTAGCAATTGTGAAAATGTACATCAGAGCTATTTAAAATCTAGTGCAGCAGGCATGCCAGGAGAATAAGTACGGTCACGGTGGTATCTCTTGATTGAAAGGGCTCAGTGACTAAACAGCAGGAAAGGACAGACCTGATCCCAATGAAAGGTCAACACAGCAAGAATCTTGTGATGGGCCAGTATCAAGAAGAGAAAATAGTTTTGTTTTCAATTCTTCAGAAGCTCAAAGGAAATGGAAAACACTAATGCAGCATTGGCAAACACTCAGTACATTCCTATACTGTCATGTTTCTGGTTAAAACTGGGTTTAGACAACAGCATTTTATTTTAGGAGAAATCATTCCCTTATAACTTCATTTCTATAGGAGTTTTTTTTTTTAATAAAAGCTTATTCTATTGTAATTGGTCCAAAACATTACAGCTTACAATAATGCTACTCTGAAGGCATTATTACAAAATACTGTAGAAGAGGGTAGTCAAAATATTATAAACTATTTACAATCATATAAAGTCTGCCATAAAAATCCTCTAGCATAATGCATTGACAACAAAACACTGTATTTACAGATCACAAAAATCTATCTCGAACTGAACCAGTAGTTGGTGTTTAGCACTGATGGTTGAACAGGGGCAAGCAGAAATTTCCTAAGGTGCAGGCCTCGAACCAGAAGAGGTGTAGGAGGCAGCATGAGGAGATGGTGCGCACAGGGTTCTGGGAAACAGGGAGCCAGATCCAGGGAGAGAGGACACCCCCACATTAGGCCAAATAGGCGACTGACAGGTTCATTTGCTACTTCTTCCCCATCTACAAAGTCTGGCCTTAGATGAGGGAGATGCCGGATGAGGTTACTTCCTTTTTAGCCTCTCACTGAAGAGATCAGAACCAGCCCAGATCTCTTCCCACCTTCCCTCCCATCAGAGAGACCAGAACTCTTCCCATGTCCCCTCTTTCCACTGGAGAGACCAGAAGACATTGTGAATTTCTGAAAACATCTATGGCCAAGGGAGTGCCTGAGCACCTTGCTTGTTGTGTCCTGGGTTGATTTTGCACAGCGTGCACATAGCTCCCTATGCATTTCCTTATGCAGACACAAATAGTTGTTTCCTATTCAAGATGATTTATAAAAAAGCAATTCTGATTATCTGTTCAAAGAGATGCATTTATTAAAATATGCGTAGAATAACGACTTACCCTCCTTTCTGATATCTGCAGGAACGTTGCTGATATTTAGTTCCTCAATATCCAGCTGCCACAGATTAGCCAGCTGTCCAAGTTCTGGAGGCAGCTCTCGGATACCAGGATTACTGTTGGAAAATAAATAAATCCAACAACAACTGGGCTCTGTAAGTACATAGCTACCGTGGACAGTTGGGATTAGCATCCAGGCACAGCACCATCCATTTCTGTGCTCAGCCCATTAGAATCACCTTCCTTACCCTAGGGTTTAAAAAATTAAAATCTCCTCTTTAATTATACAAATCAATGGGCCCAATCCTACAAGGTGCTGAGTGCCTTCAACTCCCTCTGATTTCAAACGGGCTCATCTCCTGCTGTTCGACTCTACGGTTACACCTCCCTTCGGAAATTGGGCTTGAGCAGAAACTAGTGCATCAAAAAGGGGAGCCTAACTGCAGTAGCATGGGGCAGTGGCAAAGCTGGATACGTACCACGGGGTCACGGTGAAGGGGTTGTACCGGGGGATGCTAACCTGTGCTGCTGCCAGTGTTACCATGTCTACACTACTACTTTTAATGTGCTAGCTGAATGGGAGCTACCCAAGCTGGGAACCACATCCTCAGCCTATAGTGTAGATGTAGCCTAAGAGAGAAGGTTGGTCGTCAAAGCAGCAGAGTAAAAATGTAGCTTTTCATGGCATGTACTTACTTCCCTAAATAAAGTTCTGTCAGGCCTTTCAGATGGCAAATGGACTGTGGGACAGTGTCCAGCTGATTGTCATTTAGATAAAGGACTTCCAGAGAGTCACTCAGGAATGCTGGCAACTCCAAGAAGGCACCTGAAATAACATGAAAGAAAATAAAAAGCTCAGAGCCGTGGAGTCCGACCAGTTCCGAAACAGTAGCCAGTGGCTATAGCGAACTACTCACATTCAACCGGACGGATAGCCACACTCAACTGCCACGTGTGGTTAGTGGCTAGCGTGTTGGACACCACAGGCTCAGGGGAAAGCAAGCATACTTGCCACAAGGCTCTGGACCAGTGGTTCTCATCTTATTTACCAGTGTGGGCTGCTCTTTGTGTTATGCGGGGTTCATCCACACGATACAGATACTACCTGTACAACCCTGAGGATGTCACATTAGGGATATTGGAGTATAATTGTTTAAACAGGTAACAGAGGCAGCAGCTTGGGGTGGTAGCTGGCTCTCCAGCAGTGGGGTGGCCGACAGAAGCCAGTATATGCAGGGAGCCGGCTTTTACAATCACAGTACAGTTAGATTTTGTGGGAAGGTGCAAATCCCCAGTTTACAGAGATGTTCTATTTGTGGAGCACTTCAACGAGGCAGAGTATCTCCATGGGACTGTGTCTGGAAGAACATTTAATTTGTCTTCCTTGGTGGAGCAGCATGTTTTCTCTTGTGTCTGGGCAGATGCATCACAGTCCAAGCAATGACATCCATACCCAATCCAACCCACCTCTTGCATGCAAGGAGCACAAGCATTGGGAAGTTAGTTTCCTGCACTCTCACCAGCACAGACAAAATGTGGCCCCAATACAATCTGGTAATGGCATGTGGGTAACTCAGTAAGACTTCAGTGTAAGCAGAGAATCAGGTCAATTTGTGCAATTAACTCTCCACACAGTGACCACAGTGGACAGATGAGATGATGGAGGCCCTCATCACAGGTAACAATAAAGGTAAGGTTCACTCAAGGACCCCAGATGGAGGCACAGAAGATGCAGCATTGATCTGGAAAGATGCTGCACACAGAGCCATTTCAGATGGGCAACCAGTGAATGACAGAATGGTCCGAGCAAGATTTCAGGCACACCCAGGTTTTGCATATCCTGGCTCTATGCCCTTGCCAGACAGGGTTCCAGCTCTGGGCCCTAGGCCCTTGTCTCCCAGAGTTCCAGCCACTGGCCTCACTGTTGTCTTCCAGCCGTGGATCCTGCTTGGCTGCCATGCCCATGCGACAGGTCTTGGCTGCCAGCTCTGAGTCCTGCTCACTTTCTGGCCCTGCCATCAAGCCCCACATGCCAAGCGCAGACAGAGGTAAGGGGAGGTGCAGCAAAAGTACACCCACTCCAAAAAGTATTCCTGCGCCTCTGGCAGCGACCCTCAATAGACTTAGAAAATGCTACAGACAGCAAACTTAGAGACCAACAAGCTGATCTTCACCCAAATCTACTTTGCGGAGAACAGCTCTTCCTCCTGAGAAATATCATAGAGCAACACAATAAATGGCAGCTGCAAGCAGTCCTGTATGTTTGGATTTCCAAAAAAACATTTGACAGAGTCAACAGAGAATTGTTGTGACTGAAAATATAAATCGATGTAGTCTGTAGCAAAATCATTAAAATGATTAAAAATGCATATGAGAATGCTCAGTATACAGAAAAGATAAACCTGGAACTTATGGAAAGTTTAATGTTAAACAGTGTCAGGAAAGATTATATCTTGTCCCCCACTCTTGTATGGAGTCTCTCTGGACTTTGTTATGTGACAATATGGAATCAGGCATTGCATGGATAGATGGCGGGCTTGGCGGCTTTAGACTTTATAGGTGACAACTGTCTTGTAAATAAATCTGTCAAAGATATGCAGAAAAAGGCAGATAGTCTTGCTTATTCTACCATGCAAATAGGTCTTATTATGAATAAATCAAAGATGAAGGTTATGCAAATTAACGTACCTATCAAATGATTTTATCTACCTGAAAGGTGAAGCCTTGTAAACCATTAATAAATTTGCTCATCAGGGCACCATCATTCATGATACCTTGGGTGACTGTGTTTGATGTAAAATCCAGAATAAGTAAAGCAATTGAGGTATTTATGAAATTTAATACAGTAGGGAAGTCCAATGTGTTTAGCAAAACCACCAAAATTAACAATGAGAAGCAACATGTACTATGGCGTACAGCCCTAGAAAAATGCTAAGTCTGTCCAAGCCAAATCAAACAGCTTTCAGTGTAGGTATCTGCACAGAATATGAAATGTAAAATGGATTGATAAAATAAATAACACAAAAGTCCTAGCTCCAACAAGGCAAGCAGTAGGGGGGGAAATGGACACATTTCGGACATGCTTCATCATAGGCTTTCTAAACAGGCACTTCTTTGATGACCATATGGCAAGAGATAGACCTAGAGGCACAGTCCGTAGCACTACAATGGCTGAAGCAGCCCTGTTACATCTGAATATAGAAGACATGCAGGAACGAACCCAGAATAGGCATGACTGGTGCAGTTAGACTTGTGCTTTGTGCACCTGATGGTGCAGGGAGAGTGAGGAGTGGGCAGATGAGAAAATACAGGCCCTCATCACAGGCATGATGAGCACTCCTGCTTCCTCAAGACCACCACAGTTACGATTTCTTTAAGATGTTCTTCCTCAAATATCATTCTTAAAAATGGGAAATGCACCTAATGCTGGTCCCAGAACAGAAAAGAAAATGGCAAACATTGTCTTTAAAAAAAAATACTTCCAGCTTTAATATTAACAGCAGTTAGGCTCTGTTCTAGGACTGGTAAAGGCCGAAATAGCTTGTAAAAGATGGTGAGTTCTTTATGACCCTTAACGACCCTAAGGTTCTTTAAGACTGTTATATTAGTGGGACCATTTATGGGATGGGGCAATGTGAACTAGGGCATCACACCTGACCCAGTTTTTTAAGGAAAAGGAGCTTCCAAATTTTTTTAAATGGACATCAGGTCCACTCTTGGGTCCAGTTCAGTCATTTTTCAACTCACTGTGAATGAAAGCTTTTTTGTATTTATTGGGCCCCTTCAGAATAGATGGAATCACAGCAGAACTGCTTAATACACGAAGAGGGGATGACATGAAATTTCCACTATGCCTTTTCAATTTGGCATGGGAGAGGAAACATACCCGAGAAAGAATGGACAGCTATAGACTGACAGATTCTGCCCACGCTGGAGACACTGGGGACACACACCAAAAATAGCAGCAACACTCCCAATTAATTTCCTAGCTCTAGATAGAAAAGAGCATACTATGTTAGAACCAGGCTCGAGGTGTTTATGAATTGTAATTATTTATTCATGAATTATGTATGACTTTTCTGGCTTGAGTTTGGATTTTCAGTTAAAAAAAATGCCCATCCTAAAAATATTTTTGGATGAGTTAACTACACAAATGCAACCACAGGCATATGCAAGAAGTTATTCTGAGCTTTATCAGCCTAGTGTACTGAGGACCCCTAAATCATCCTCTGTAAATAATTTCCTAGACATGAATCAACAGCGTACGTGGTGAAATTATATTAAATATAGGGAGCTTTTTGTAAGAAACTGATGCATTCTGACTCCTGTCTTCTGTAAATGTCCTTTAAACGCCTGGTCACGTCCTCTGGTCTCACCAGGCTGCACATGGGACAGAAGAAGCTAGCAGACAAAGGGCATTTTACTCCATCTTTGTGGCTGTCCAATCCTGGCGCCAACCAGAGAGTTGGTTTGGCCTGTGGCCCAAGTTAAGTCACACACCCAGATACCCACGTATCAAAGGAGACATTCAAGCGAGGGCTTGTCAGAGAGCAATGGTGCTCAGGCTATACCTCCTTTCACTAGGCCTTACCATTTTGCTGGAGGAAGGGGTTGTTGGTAAGACTGGGCTGTGCTGGCTCTACTTTGCTTGGGGATTCCCACTGCACAAGGCTTACGCAGGTAGCTGGTGAAACTGGCATTACATCCCTTGCCACGGTCAGAGCAGCACAAAGGAGCTATGTCAGGGCTAAAGATCTGGCCCTCCGGCTCTGGCACCTTCTTGCTGTAACATTCATGTTTTGTATTTCGACATCACACGCACCAATCTTTTTTGCTGAGGTCCTTCCCCATTTGCAGCTGATTGGTGCATTGGCCTCACCTAGCCCAAAATGATAAATGCCCCTTTCTTATCTCCTTGCTCCATGACTTGACACAAGTGCTCCCATATCTCCTACCACGTCTCCTCACCTCTTCTTTTCTAGCTCTCTTCTTTTCACACCAGTTAGCAAAGAAGATGGGCACTGACTGGAGTAGCAGGAATTGGGGGCGGAGGGTTGGTAACAAAAGCCAGGACAGGTCTCTGGCTCAAAGCAGCCCTGGGATTAGTTCTCTGATCACTCAGCTGCTGCTGTAATAGCTTTACGGAACAGACACGATGTCCCTAATGCTGACAAACACTTTAGAACGAAGGTTCAGGGTGACGTTCCCATGTGTTTTATATTCAGGATTAATGTCACAGCACTTCCATTTCCGGGTAATTCCTGCTATTTCTCTTTTCGTTTTTAATGAAATAAAAGAAAATCCTATGTACAACAGAGATTTCTTTTCCTTATATGGACACGCATGTTACATGCTGGACAGCAGCTCCCACCTCCACAGAAAGGAAATTTTGCAAATTTCAAGGTTCCATAGAATTTAAAAGTTAGAAAGAACCAATAGATCCCCCAGTATGACCTCCAGTTTATCACAAGCCATTACATTTTCCCCGGTAACCCTGTATTGAGCCCAATAACTGGATTAGAACAAAACATTTCAGTTGCTGTAACATTAAATTTTTGCGTGCCACAGACAGAGAACAAGAGAAACCAAATTACCACTAGTGCCTGAGTGCTGATTAGGTGAGAGATGCCCCGGTGATTTCAGCAAGTGATCCAAGCCCCACGCTGCAGAGGAAAGCAAAAACCCTCAAGATTTCTGCCAATTCCTGCCTGACCCCAAACTAGTGTTCAGTATGAACATGTGCGCAAGGCCTAGGAGCCAGGCTTGCAGAAAGAACACAGGTCTACCTGTCTGGTGTCCTGCCGTCTGCTGTGGCCAATCCCTGATACATCACAGGAGGCCAAACCCCACTCAGAATATATGTGAGCAATGGTGCACCAGAGGAAAAACTCCTTCCTGACCCTGACCAGCTGATGCATGAGACTTTATTATATTCTTTGCCTTGATGCAGATTTGCAAGGGTCAGGGGGGTGTTGATTGTTAGGCTTCTGCTCAGTCTATGAGCCATGAGGGAAGGGAAAAATAGACGGATCCATTAACAATGCAGTGGGGTGAGACCCTATGGCTTGCGGACTATTCTCATTCAGGACAATGTTAACTGTCACCACAAAACCTAAATACTGTTCTGTTCTGTGCAACTCCCTAGAGATATGCTAAAATATACTGTCCCCAAGGGCGAATGCAGCACATAAAAGCTCTGAGTGGCCTAAAATAAAAACAAGCAAACTAAAAGAAAAGCAACTTCATCTCACAGAGATAAGGGATCAGTGTAGCTATCTTCAAATGGTCTTTTGATCTTTATGGGATTTCACAGATGGTAATCCAGAAAATCTCCCTCCCAACATTTGGCAATCAAAGAGGTAAAGGGTAAAACCCATCTTGCAAGTTCAGCCACTAGTTTTATGGCCCGGGCTCAGAGGACACACGACCTAGAGTGACTGGCTTCTCAAGCATTGCAGTAATTTGGACATAGAGAGGGAGGGGTAGCTCGGTGAGAGAAGCAGGCTTCACCGATTCTTTAGCCATTTGTGCAGGTGGGACAGGCCACTTCTTCAGTGATTTGCACGCTGAACGCATTTCCTATTTTATGTAATGTCACTGCACTAAAAGCCACAGCTGTGCTTACTCCGACCTTTCATCTGCCTGACTCCAAGAGGTTTCCTGTACCCTTGGTTTTGCAATTCACCTGGCGCCATTGACCATCTCTTTCCCAGGAGACAGGTCACCTCATACTGTACCTGCCTCTGTGCCTCGCACTCTGCTTCTTGTGGTAAAAAGGGAAATCCGCTTTGTTTTAAACCCCTCCTCGCTCCTGCAGATGAAACAAAAGGCACATAGCAAGGCTTGGGAAAGACAAAGCCACACTGGGGTCATTTACGAGACTTCATACTGTTATGAGTACAACCTGTGGGAGCTCAGTACCAAGGGTGGCAGGTACGCTAGGTGGGGGAAGGCACTGCCTTCGCAAACCGCCAGCCTGGCCCGGCCCAGACTCTGCTCCCAGAACACCTACTATAGGTGTACTAGGGATGGAGTGTTGCTGCCCCCAAGCACCCGCCTGCTCTCTCTGTACTCTAGGCCGGGGAGACTGCGGCTGCGCACCACCCGCCCTCCCTGTGTTTCGGGGCTGGGAAGGCTGGGACAGCAGGCCCCCACACCTCTCCATGGTGCTGGGCGGCAGGCGGTCCTTGGCTCCCATGGGGGAGGGATCTGATCAGAAGGGGTGGGACTGTAGGCAGGGGCTTGCCTCCCTTAGCCCTAGCTTCACCTCAGCAGCTTGTGGCACTTGGACTTCTACAAGGCTTTATATTGTCAGAGCACAGCCTTTGCTTGTTCCCATTCACATGGACGTGGGAGATGGGTTTGAGCTGCACAGCTCAGCAGCAGTTCTGAACACACCAACTGCCTGGACACAAGGTTTTTGGTGAAGACTCAGCTCTGCCATTCAGCATATTAGCCTAGTTCTGGGGCATTATTTTGACTCCATCTGGGAAATGCACACTTGACTTTGTGTTTTCTTTACTGGCATCAAGACTCAGGAGTTTGTCAAAGAGCAAACTGAACAAGCTGCATAAGAGATTCTAGAAAAGAGCACGGAACAACTTGCTATTTCCTGTTACAGCTAGCGCTCCTCTGACAGGATGACCTATGATTCTAAGGCACTGATATATCCTTGCTTATTGACACTGACCATGCAGAATACTGGCAGGGCAGATGATAACGAACCTCGCAAAGATGCTGGGCATGCATCCAAATAAGGTAGATAAAAGTTTGATGCACTTACTTGCGCTACCGGAGAAAGGGACACGCCTGCAAGTCTGAATATCAAACATCCTTTTGATGTTTTCTAAATGGTTAAAATATCATCCCTAATTTTTGTTTTCTAACTAGCCAAAGTCATTAGTCTGGCTATGGGATGTTATATTTTAATTAAAAAGTTTTTTTTACATTTTCCAAAACACGTACTTCCATGAAAATCTAAAAGTTTAAGCCCAGATAAAATGCTTATGGTTAAAACATGCTCCCTACAAATATTTGCATTGGTAAACCACTCAGAGCAAAGCATATTCACAGAATCACAGGACTGCAAGGAATCTTGAGAGATTATCTAGTCCAGCTAATGAAAGCTAAGAGATTGTGCTGGGGGTGGGCCCAGAGCACTGAGCCCCCACCCCACTGGCACATGGCTCTCAGAGAACACATGGCCCCTGCACCTGGCCACTTTGAGAGGTGCAAGGGACGCAGAAGGCAGGGAGCCTATCTGAGGGTCCTTCTGGGCTGCAGGACTGATCTGGCCTTGAGCAGTATTTTGCCAGCCCATGATCTAGATCATCCCTTACAGGTGTTTGTCTAACTTGCTCTTAAAAATCTGCAATTATGGAGATTCCACAACCTCCCTAGGCAATTTATTCCAGTGGTTATCCACCCTGACAAACAGTTTTGCCTAATGTCCAATCTAAACTGCCTTTGCTGCAATTTAAGCCCATTGATTCTTGTCCTATTAGAGGCCAAGAAGAACAATTTTTCTCCCTCCTTGTAACAACCTTTTATGTACTTGAAAACTGTTATCGTGTCCCCTCTGTCTTCTCTTTTCCAGATTAAACAGACCCAAATCTTTCAATCTTGCCTCACAGGTCATGTTTTCTAGACCTTTAATCATTTGTGTTGTTGTTCCCTGGACATTTGTCCACACCTTTCCTGAAATATGGCACCTAGAACAGGACACAATACTTCAGCTAAGGCTTAATCAGCAGCAAGCTGATTGGAAGAATTACGTCTCAAATCTTATTTACAACACTCCAGTTGATGCTTCCCAGAATGATGTTTGCTTTTTTTTAAAACAGTGTTATACTGTTGATTCATATTTATCTTGTGGTCCACTATGGCCCCAGATTTCTTTCTGCAGCACTCCTTCCTAGGCAACCATTTTTTATTTTGTATGTGTGCAACTGATTGTTCCTTGATAACTGGAGTATTTTGCATTTGTCCTTAATGAATTTCATCCTACTTACCTGAAACCATTTTGTCCAGTTTGTACAGATCATTTTGAATTTTAATCCTATCCTTCAAAGCTCTTGCAACCCCACTTAACTTGGTATCATCTGCAAACTTATGTTCTAGATTTTATTACCACTCATAATTATTCACTCATGAAATAATGATGTGAGCAGTACCCAAAAAAACTATTATTAACATTTCTTCAATGCCACAGGTATACAAGATACTTTGGAGATGTAAAAGATGATGTGAGCAAAGCTATATGGATAACTATCTTACTATATATTTTAGAAATGTGATTCTGTCTGTCTTTGAGTTTGTTTGTGCAAGAACTCTTCTTAAACAGTAAGAGCTAGGACCACCAAATTTGGTATGCAGCTTCCTCTTCTAACTTAAAACAAGGTAAGAATTTGGTTGTGCCAGGACAATGGGATGTGCCCAAAATTTGACTCTCTCATAAAATACAAAAGGGAGGGGATGTGGTAGAAGGTTCAGTTATAATGTAGAATGACTACAGGGAGGCAGCAAGGGGCCAGAGATGGGGTCTGGGATAGCTCTAACCTCATTGGGCCAGCAGGGGACAGGGTCGGAGAAAGGGACAGCTATCTGCTATATATTTCAGGGAGTTTGTATGTGTATCCGTTTGTCTGTCTGTACCCCTCCCCCACATGTGCCTACTGCAGCTGCTATGGACAGACACTTCTCTCCTGGCCACAAGCTGCTGCAATGACAGAGGGCTGGGGTTGTCCTCTCTCCCTGCGACAGCCTACATAATGAACCCCTCATTCCTAGCCCCACTCTAAAAACAATGATTTTAAATAAAGAAAAACAAAACTTGTCTGAGTTAAGGTCTTGAGCAACGCCAGGTAAATCTTCTAGTATGCTACATATAGGGAATTAATCTAGAGAGTCTATAAAAGCATTGACATATTCTACAACATGTAAAGGTTTAGTTTAAATGTTAGCTGTGACACAATTAAAAGGAACACTTACTTCCCAAGCTGATTCTTGGAAAGATCTAGTGATTTAAGTTGCCGGCAGGTCCACTTATCTTGAGAAGGCAACGAAACTAACTGATTTCCCAAAAGCTTCAGTGACACCAGCACCTGAAAAAGGAATAGGGAGCAATCCATTAAACACACAGAAAGAGGTTTGAAAAAGCAAAACTGCTTAAATAACAGGAAACTTAAGAAAGCACTTCTTTTTAAACAAAGATTCTAACTACCTATCATATAAATATTTCTCTCCAATACATGCATCTCCTTGTACAAAGCAATGTAACTTTTAGCCCAACATAATTATTGGCTTATTTGCTGAACGATTCAACTAGAAATTCCAAATACTGGTTTTTGTGTTAATGAAACAGTCCCATGTAGAAAAAAGATCAGTTTAATATGCATACTATGCCATATGTTTGTTTTAAGTGTTGCATATGTTTGTGAACTAAGAAATAATTGGGTCCTCTCCTACTAATTCATATTTCAGACTATATATTCTCTTGTATAAATCCAAAATGTGAAATGTGTGCTACCCAAACAGTAGAAACTGCACATATTTTTGTTGCATGAAGTTTAGATGATTAAATGTGTATTTAATTTTTTTTTCACCGTTTAGACTATTGCTTTACTCTTTGCCTGAACTCAGGTTGGAGACTGAAACTGAACAGATCAGTTTCACTTGCTTGTTCTCATGCACTAGGTAACACCACAGAAATATGGAAAAATTCCAAATACCACAGAGTTTAAATACAACCAACCTCTTGCAAATTTAAAATTGACAAAAATAAATTTATGCTCAATTTTGTACACCTCCCTACTCTCCCATCTTGCTTTATAAATAAATCTGAAGCTAAAACCATTTGACAGTGTCCCATTAACACAAGTGCATATTTTCATTGTTCTCAAAATAGTAAAGCAAGAGGACAATATTCAAAGGCACTATGAAGTGCTTTTAAAAGCTGGATAAGAAGATAATACTTGAAATATGGAAAATTTGGGATGAGAGGTTCTCCCATGACAAATTTCAACTTTTCATTAAAAAATGTTTTGGCTTAAAATTTAAATTTTTGGGAAGGGGGGGGGGAGGTTGCCACAATGCTTTTGGTTTTTCAACATACTGGTGTTTTCCATGAAAATATTCATTTTTATCAAAGTCCCAATTTTCCATAGAAAAACAATTTTTGATTGAAAATTTAATCTAGTCCTAGCCAATACATCCCGTGGTGTGATCTGAGATAAGCAGATTTTTAACGTAGTAATGCCAAACTCTCTCTGGCATAACTCCACTGAAGTTAGTGTAATATAACCAAAGTCAATGGAGTTAGGTCAGAAGAGAATTTGGCTGTAGGTATTTTAGACACCATTTATGTTCCATATGCCATTAAGGTTCTGTGTAAATGAGGCAGAACACAGGTTATGCTGAAATGGTGTGGCAAGTATTATTCAAGTCACATTAACACTGTCACATAAAGTGAGACTGTTTCTCTACTATGTGCTTAAATTGAAGAATAAGAAATCTGAGTGGGACCAGGGTAGCAGACTATCGTCAAGTGAGTAGGTTGGCATTTAATGTGCAACATGCACAGGGATGGGACAGGGTCACACCAAAGCTCTGACATAGAGAAGTAACATAAATATAGATAGCTGTGAAATATTAGAGAAGGCCATTGGAAGAGAACCGGTGAAGAAACATGCTGAGTCAATTTAAATGCTGGAATGGAACGATGACACAGACTTCCAGAGAAGTATAGACAAACTAAGCATGCAACCTTTCCCCTTTCCCACTCACAAATTTTGTCAAAATCATTGTACATTTGGAATCAACCTCAGTTTGACAAGAAGAATCTGTTTCTACCCAACTCTTCTTGTGCCAAATGCCCTGCAGGTATCACCACACATTTCAAGAATTGTGACTGTCCAAGGGCAGGCTTTCAGGTGGGTGGAGTGCTGTCAAAAGTGAGAAATGGTAATTTCCTTCTCTCTTCTGCCACAACACACAATAGGAGAACTGTCATATAGTTTAAAACAGAGTGGAAAAAACCACTGTCATTTAATTATGACAAGGGTTGCATGAATCAACTTGTAAAGGATCTGGAAAACATGACACAATTACTTTGCATATGTGCCTTGGAGAAAGGTTCCTGATCTTTCTCCAGGAGCAGAGAAGTGAGCCATGACTTGGAAAAATACCATCTTCTTTGAAAAAGGGGAACAGCCAGGGCCGCATTATGACTTTTGTGGGCCCTAGGCACTTTTGCCTTCATGGGCCCCTTTCTCCATAAAAAAAAAATATTAAAAATTATATTTTACGACTGCGTTGGTATAAAGACGAATATAATCCAGGCTTGATTATATTCGTCTTTATACCAGCACAGTTGAAAAACATTTTCTTCGACCCTAAAAGTTCATTTTTTTCCTTCTCATATTAAAAGAAATTAAAACATTTTTGTGGGCCCCTAAAAGTATTGCGGGCCCTAGGCACTGTGCCTACTGTGCCTAATGGATGTCGGCCCTGGGAATAGCCTCTACAGCAAAACAAACAAGCACTCTAGTTTTCACCTTGTGCAGGAATATCTGTGCTGCACACGGAATCACAGAACATCAGCTGGTTTGCCGTTCTCATGTCACAAATGAACAATTATGTATCTAAAGCAAAATGCAGGACAATGTAGCACTTTAAAGACTAACAAGATGGTTTTGTCCTGCATTTTGCTTCAGCTACCCCAGACTAACACGGCTACATTTCTATCACAATTATGTATCTAAATATTCTTTCCCATGAGCTAGATTGGGACTTTAGGATCGGCACTGAGCAAAGGGTGAGGGGTGAACTACATTTCAGAAGCAGCATTATGCCAGAGATGCTCCTCAGAAACATGTTTCTTCCTTTCTCCAGGGGCTTGGAATAATAATTTACTGCTGGCAGCGAGTGTGTACATCCCTGCCAGGTGGCACTAAAATTCTGCCCATTTTTCTTTTTTCCTCACTGTGACGGAATGTTCCCCCCTTCCCCCCAGCTTTATGAAATGGACTTTTGGACACAAATATGCATAACTCAAAGATGCTTTGGACAAATTGCTTCATGTAGCTTATCAATCTTAATGTCCTAATCCACTGGCTCTGTTTATTTTATTTTGGTGTATTATGTATCATTTATGTGTGTAAAATTAGACATATGGCGTATAGAATGCTTTGTGGTTTTAAATGTGCAAAGGAAAGCCATCAAGGGTGTTTCCAATTTGAGATACCTCAATGTCTGGGCAATCATATGCAGATAGCCTTTTGTCCTTAAGTCTTAGCAGGGGTTGGTCTTACGAAGTCACATGACCTCCCAGACTGATATGGACTGGCTAGATAGCTTCTCATGCAAAAGGGAGAATCTTTAAAACAATAGGAAACTAGCAGGGTTTTGTCTTTGGCTGGCTGGATACACCCAAGGGAAGAAACCAAAGCCCCCAGAGTGAGAAACAGTCCTGGTCTGGAAGGCTTAGCTGAAAAAGAAAGTTTTAGGGTGAGTCTGTAATAAGTTTGTACTGAAGTTTTAGTGTAGAATTAGCTACGTGTGTTCTGTTATTCTGAGTATGTAAACTACTTTGCTCTGCCTGTTCTCACTTATTACCACTTAAATCCTACTGCTTTTACTTAATAAAAACACTTTTATTTTCTATCAAGCCCAGTGTAAATAATTGATAAGGGGGGGGGGAATCAGTGTGTACATTCTCCCTTTCTTTGTTAAAGGGGGCTTGCCTATCTAATGCATTTGGGGTTCTGATCCCATTTGGGCAGCGGTATCTCAGGAAGCAGGAGAGAGCAGTGAGAAGCCCCGGAGAGCAAGGAGGTTTCAGTGGCCTTATCAGCACCCCAGGAAGTCCTGCAAAGAGATCTTCTGTGACCACACCCTGTTACACTCACCACCTACATAAACCTAGAAAGGGTGCAAGTGAGTGCACTCCAATCTACCCAGACCCAAGCGGAAGGTTACTGTTCTTATTTCCTCCTATTCCCTGGGTAACTTGAGAAACAGAGATGTGAGCTGGAAATATCTAGGATGTCCAAGTGGCTGCCAAAGTAAGCCAGGTTCTAAATCACACAACCTGATGGAGAATTCATCCAACTCCACTTAGACATGTGGCTCTGGGACCTATCACGTCAAGCACAAATCCAGCTTCCCATAGTAGACAAAAACTACAGCATAGGATGAAACATGACCCTGGAGCACCACCTAGCGTCCAGCACCCGCTGTGACAGCCGAATCCCTCCCATTTGTATGTTTACCATCCTCAGAGAAACAAGGTGATGATGAAGTGAAGCTCATCTGCTTGAGAGCCAATAGCACATCAATTTTACCCTTCGGGAGATGTGCCAGGAAAGGAAAACAATGAGCAGAAACCGTACGAAAAGGCATTCCACACATACACAGGTTACTTGTAGCCTTGTGCAGAAAATAATTTAGGAAGAAAATGATCTCCTCCATTCCTATTAGCGGGAGAAAACCAGAGGCACCTCTCTAGCATTCTCCTCCTTTCCTCTGTGAGCACTCCAATGGAAACAGCTGGCTGACTGGGACTGAGGAGGGAGTTACAGAATTATTCTCAGAGGCATTGTTCTCCCACTAACTTCAGGTGATTTCAAGGGAAATCAGGGCTGATCTGGCTGGCTTCTCTTAAATGTGGTTTTAAGGGATATTTTTATTTTATCTTATTATCTTATCTTATCTTACACCATCCTACTAGATGCTTTTCATCCTACAACTGCTCTCTTGGTGTCCAAGTAGACTGATTTAGACAAATATGGACATATGCTGTCACTCCTCAATTTTCCACACTAGGTACAGCTATGGAAATCTTGGCACTTGCACAAATGTTTTCCTTGGTTTCAATCCACACAAGACTATGCCCCCATGATTCACAATCTGAAACAGCAACACATATGGAACTGTTGAGTTCTGCCTTGTTTCATGTTGAAACCACAAATTCTGAACAAGTTTGAAGCAAAACCATCAGTATGTCCTATTATCTGGAAAGAGGCCCTACATTTATTTGCATGAAAGGCTTGTCAAACACAGTAAACCTTTCAATGAACGTGGTCCACATTCTGAGTTTGTAACTGACCTTAACTCAGGTCTGATTCATATGCCACCTGACCTTAACCCACGTCTGATTCATATGCCACCAGGTTTCAAAGAAAGTATTTCACACTAATTCAGAGTCAGATTAACATAAACTGACCTTCTCTCTTGCACTCATTATTATCTGTGGGTCCAATTACTGGATGTCTATCACTGTGACTTGCAACTATCAAATGGAGGCAGGTTTAAAAAAATGCAGTCCTAATAACAAAGTTGCAGGTACCAAAACAGCACCCAAAGATACCCTAAAGCATTTTACAAACAATACACAAGGCTAATTTAGGCTATACTAAAGTACATCTTTAGGGAAAATGGGACCGCTATTTAATACAGTAATTCCTCATTTAACACTATAGATGCATTTCTGAAGATATTCATGCTAAGCGAAAATGTGCTATGCAGAGTCAATTTTCCCATTAAAAATGATGGAAAACTTGGGGGTTGCACTTCAGGTGGTGGTGGCAAAGTCAATTTTTTGTTGGTGCTCAGTCGTCAACATTAGATATCTAGCAAGATATCTAGCAACAAAAGTTGCCACGGTTTGTTAAAACACAAGGATAAACACATGAGTGAGCGGAGGAGCACTGTGACCATGTGTGTTCATCTGCTCATGCGTATTACCGCTGTTTTCACCAGCTTATACTGCTGCACAAAGTAGTCCACCACTTGATTATTTTTGTGTTATTTTGGGGACGGTCGTGTTATTTGAAAAGGTTCCCTAAAAAAAAATCGTGCTATTAAGAAAACATGTTAAATAGGCACGTGTTAAATGCGTAATTACTGTATTACATGAAAGCCTTGCACAACAGCTCTGCATAGGGAGCAAAGATACATTATCTTACTAAAACACACAAAGAGCCTCTAATCCCTTGTTCATAATCACAAACA